GCTGGGATAGAGTTAATTTTTTTCCATAGTATCTGGTATGGGGCTATGTTTTGGATTGGTGCTGAAAACAGCGTTGATAAGGCAGGAAATACTATCCATGAAGTGATGTCATGTATAATTGCGTCAACAGGCAAAAATACACAACTCAGTGAAGACAGAACTCCCTCTGAGTTTTAAAGCTTTGGTTCTGGGTGACGCTAAACCCTTCTTGGGATCGGGACCTTGGAGCAGTGGCATTACTGGAGCCTGGATTGTCTGGGCAAACATAAACAGATGCTAAGAACCAGTCTGTCTTTGACTACAGTGTCAGCACACCAAAGTGCAAGTCTCTTAGCACTGGCTTGAAACGAACCACAGCTATGGGAAGCTTGAGCAAGGTGGGAAAGGATGGGTTAACCACAGCTCTCCTAGAATTAAATGAAAGGGATACAGTCAAGTAGCAGCCTTCTCACTAGATCAAATCACGGTCCCTAGGTAAAAGCATATGCACATTTATGAAGAGACAATCTTTCAAGCTCAAAAGGTGGCATACTGGGGTTTCCAATAAAGATCTTGCTGCTGAGAGGCACATATAGTCCACCCATACCTCAGGGGTGGGTAGGGGGATCCCCACTAGCAGGGCCTAGGAGTGTGTAAAGATTTTAAATATTCATTTCACTTCTGAGTTACTGTATGTGTTGGTTATCCGTCCAAGAATTACAGTTGTCTGTTCTTACAAATGTATCTTTTAAATGTGTCAGCACATGCCGAGAGCAAAGAATAATGGTTCTGTTCCACTGAAGAAAGTAAATAAATACTGTTTGTGATCAAGGGAAGTAACATTTCCGGCACTGCAGCCAGCACAGGGAACGCAGCATTAACAAATAAAAAGGGAGTCCTGACTATACTGCGGTATCTTTGATGCTGCAATTAGCCTGTACTGATGGAGCAGGGAGATGTTGCAATGGCCCAGATTCCACAGCCTGCGCTGCTATCTACGGTTGTAGGTGCCAAGCCCTTCAAGGCAATATTCGTATTGCACCGCTGCAGTCACTATTTGTGCTACCAGGGACAGGGATTTACTGGAGGCTACAGAATATTCCACGGATTGTAATGAAATCTGGCATGTCATCAAGCCACATCCGGCAAACTGTCAGTATTTTACTGCTGAACAGATTTCTTGCAACACCCACCATTTTCTCTTTTCCTGAAAGAAGCTCTCCACGCTTGTGAATCTAAACAAATGCAATTACATTTGTTCCTTGCTCACAGGTTTGAAGCAACAGACATATATTAAACTAACAGTTTTACAAAGGCACTTTTTTATCAGAGGGATTCAGTAGGCTGGAGTGAAGGATGCTGGGTTTCTGCCTCTGGAGCACTGTCCTTGGACAAGCCACAGTTGTTGATGGGCTTACCTGTATCTCTGCCTTGCTTTGTGGCCCTACCAGGAACCACACACATGTAAGAACCTCAGGGCTGAGGGAAACATCAACTGCTTTTCTAAGGTGGGAGAGTCGTACCAAAGGCAGATACCTCAGGTAAGAGAGTAAAGCTCCATGGCACAGGTCTTGCTGAGATAAGCTACAGCAGGCAGGTCCCAAAGAGCAGGCAGTCCCTAAGCACCCATACCCAAGGAAGGAAAGCTCAGGGAGAGGGGATACATTCTCCAGAGAACAGCCCGGCTGAATGCCAGGGTGCAGTCTGGAGGCAGGTCAAAGAAAGATAGTTGGAGATGACCATTTGGTAAGTCAATTGGATCTGAGCTAGCAGGAAGCAGCTGGGTCGTCCTGCTCTATGCTATGCTGTAGGGCAGTTTCAATCATCATCATGAAGGCTTGAGTTGCTGTGTAACTCAGCTGGAATAAGTAAGCAGATTAATGGCCCAGACCTAAACCATATCCTAGGCAGAAAACCACTGACTTTGACATACACAGAACAATAACTTCACAGCCAGCACCATCATGAAATGTTCTGTGAGCAAAAGTGTAATGAGGCTGCTGATGGATGGAGTACTGACAAGTACAGATGCAATACAACACAAAGAACAATATTAAAACATAAATACCAATAGTTTTCTGAAAGTGCTGCTAAATCGGAATCTGTATCTTTTTGTTTCACGAAGGCCACATCCACACGAGTTTGACCTCATACCTGAAAATACTCATTCTATTCACACAGAAGGCAGTAGTGATTACACAAACCTTTACTTATTCTGATTTCGAATTCGGAGACACCTCCTTTTCAATGGTGGCTCCAGATCCTCTGGCCCTGTGCTGAGTATTGGCGTTGAGATAATGCATGGTGCAATAGCAGTCTTTTCTGCTGGTTTTGGCACAGGCTGGATCACGCAACCTGTCTTGGGCAGCATCCGCAAAGCATATGCATGGTCCTCGTCTGCTGGATTGTTAAGGTTCGGGTCCTGTTTGTCTCCCCCAGCAAGGGGCTCTTCCCCAGTCTTCTTGCCAACATCTCCCTCGAGGTGGCAGTTTGACGCACAGTTGTTCTCCTTAACGGACTCCAGCTCACTCACCGCCAGCTCCTCTGGGGGCTGGGGCTTTTTTGGCTCCTGGGGGGGCTCTGGGTTCTTAGAACCCTCCGTGCTCTTCGTGCCATTCACAATGACGTTGCACACCGCTGCACCAGCTTCCAGTCCCGGCGTGCCAGAGGCCAAGGAGACAGGACAGCAGTGAGCTCCGTCACTGCACGGTAACGTTTTTGAGTCAACTGGGCTGCAGTTGTCCCTGCAGTCACTGCAGTTCCTTTTGTCTGAGCTACCAAAAGCCAAATTTACAACACTGTTAGGTTCACGTTCAACTTTCACTTGGGCGTGTAAAGCCCTGTGGATAACATTGTGCAGCCTAGACCGGTGGCCTACTGTTAGGTCTATCACACCATCCTGTGGACCCTGTAGCACACTGGGGAAACCAAATTTACTGTTCACTGGACTACTAGGTCTGACAGTCAAGTCAACAACTTCATTTTTACTGTGCTCCTGAAGCACTTGAGCTTGATTTAGGGACTGGCCTGAGCAGCTCGGTGAGGAGTCAGAGGATTTAGATGATCCTTGCTTTGACTCTCGAGGGGACGAAGAGCTATTGGTTGGCTTTGCCCCAGGCGTCTCGCTGGAGGTACTCGGAATGAAGCTTTCGCCGTTGCTGGAGAAGCCATTGGGGGGTTTGGAGTCGTTGATGTGAGGGATGGGAATGGGAATGGGGATGGGGACAGGCAAAGGGACAATGACAGGATATGGCACTAGTAGAGTCGGGGGTGGCACCAGCGGGGCAAGGGATGGCAATCCAAAGTTCATCATCTGTGGCATAGGCATAGGACCATTTGGCATCATGCTGACAGGGGGAAAGGGAAGACTGGGCAAAGGAGCTCCGGGAGGGGGAGGCGGCAACAAGCCGGGAGGATTCCCAGGCATGGTAGGTGTTGTGGGGGGATGGATATGAGGCGAAAGCATTGGCCTGTGCATGGGGCTAGAGGTGGGACCCATATTTCTGGGACCACCTGGTGGGGGACCGATTCCAGGAATCATTGGATTTGACAGAGGGCTGTTAGGATTTGAGGCATGGTGAGGAGGCCCACGAATAAACGGTGGACGGATTTGCTGCATAATTTGCTGTTCCATGAATATGGGCAGAGGAACTGGCCCACGGTTTGTCATCACCATGGGAGGACTGCGAGGTGGGACACCAATTGGAGGCACAATGCTAGCAGGTGGCTGGACAGAAACTGGTGGAATATTTGGATTCTCACTGATGGGAATAGGTTTGGGAACTGGCGTGGGGATTTTAGTGACAGAGCAGTTGGCAGTGTCAGATGGAGAGGCAGTGGTAGACGCTGATGGTCCAGGACCTTGAATTTGGCCAGCTGCAGACGCTGGGGATGGGGCTTTTCTCCGAGCATCTGCTAGCGGTATATTCCAAGAATCTGGAGTCAGCAGCTGCACCCCAGTGCCTTCTGCTTTATTTTCGACTGGAGGATGTAATGTACTGCACAGTCCAGCTGGAAGATTGGCCTGTGTCTCTTTGTAGAAAATGTCCATTTTGTACTGATTGAGACATTTTGCACTGCAGAACTGAAGCCTTCTTTCCCCGTCCCCAAAATCCAGATACTCTTTTGTGTGTCTTATGTGCTTACACCAGTCACATACCTACAACACAGTAATAAAATCAAATCAGGTAAGAAAAGCAATCTTCTCTTCATAGTGTTATTTTAAAAGTAATTTTTCAGTTGCTTTCTAAAGACAGTATTTTTCTAGCAGAAAAAAAATAGTTACGTTTGTGAAAACTACGCTTTTTTTCCCTCAAAAATATTGGTGAATTGAATGCCACTCCCTTTTATGGCTCCCATGATCTCAATTCTACCTTATACAGTACATTTTGTATCTTAAACCCATACCACAGAGAAAAATCCTCAGCTGGCATAAACTGTTATAACACACATAAGTAAGTATACAAAATCCATATGAGTGTGGCTGCGATTACTCCTCAGTGGTAAACTAAGCATACCTATACCATCTGAGATGCCATACTACACAAGGAGTATGATAACTGGAAAAGGACTCAGAAAGTTGCTGGAAATGAACTCAGACCATTTCTGCTAAACTGCAGCATGCTGTAACATTTAGTATTCTATTAGGTGTATCAAATAGTAAGTTGGACAGGGTGTGGTATTTTAAAATGGCATCATGAAGCAAAAAGCATCATTCATCCTTTGCCCTTCTTTCCAAGGAGAAACTTGGAAATAGTCAGGACATTTGTGTAAGGTTCGAATAGTCCAAATTTGTGGTGTTTTGGCAAGCTGGAATTATTTTCTGAACTGTTTGCCCACTCTCATGTACGAGTCACTTTGAGTAAAACTTCTTGGCAAGCAAGGGTCTATTTAGCAACTTTTCAAATACTACGGCAAAAAGTTTGCATCGCAGGCTCATTTTTGTTTTGTTTCTCTGCTTTCCACTTAATCCTTTTCTGTGTTATTATTGGTGTGGTGAAGGCACAGCCAATTTTTTTTAAAGTAAGGCTGCAGAACTAATTAAGCTGTGAAAGGTTTTCCCAGTTGTAAACCACTAGACACCAAAGTTCAAAAAATAGTCATTCTAAGCTTCAGAATCCATTACTTCAGAGAAATTATTGTGATTTCATTAACACATTAATTTTGCAACACCAACAGCTCTCACAGATGGTGAAGACATGATCTACAATTCAAATATGACTCTTGTTTGCACAAATGCCTTTCCTTCATATGGCATTTTAAACAAGAATTAATATGAGTAATCTTGCCATAGCTATAAACAGATAAACAGATGTCAGATTTTTCAGTGCCTTACTTTTTTGACAGAATTTCACAGACACAAAAAAACCATTTTTGTCATTTACATTAGTTCTCAAAATTCTCCACTGAAAGAGAATTTTGGTGCTTTTTATCAGCATGTTGAGCCTATGACCATGTCAGAATACATCCTGGTATTGTTCGTTCTGCCTTTTCCAAAGAGCCCATATTAGCTTGTTTTGAAATGACTATATCTTTTGTACAAAAAAAAAAAAAAAAAAATAAATGATTGTGAAAAGACTGCATTAAAAGGATAATTAATTTTAATAACTATTGGCCATATAAACAATTCAAAACAACATATGTCAGGCATCTGATTACCCATCTCATTTAACTCTCAGCTTTCCTTTAATATAAACAGTGGTGACATTTTTGAGTTCTCAGTAATATATCTTTAATATATATCTATATACACATACTATATGCTATGGCTATTAGCCCATTTATTTTAACTCTGAAAGCTGTTGGGTTATCCAGTCAGGTTGCTATTTGATTCCTTCTCCTGTCTCCCTCTCCCCATTCACACACTCACACACGCACTCCCTCTCTCTACCACGAAGTTTTTATCCCAACATTTAAATCAAACTAAATAATTACTTGAGAAGTAGCAACTATTAAGTCACCCCTGAAGTTTGGGAATGCAGGGCCCAGATTTTTAGCTTGGGCACACAGACACAATGCCACGTGAGATAAAGCAGAGGGGGTACTGGTCCTGCTCCAAGTGTGCGGCATTAGGGTGGGTGCATTTCCAGCACAATGCCCCATGCAAGGAAGAAAATTTCCTGGTGCGTTACAAACAAGTCCAGCTCTGCGTTGAACACACACTGATGATGTAGCACCCTAAAAAACGTGGACAAAAAGGCTGTCAAACACACACAAAAGTTGAGATAAATGCCACCGCTGCCACAACGCATACATCCCTCCCAGGCATGGGGCGGATGGGAAGCGGGAGCGCATGGAGCAGGGCAAAGCAGAAGCACCCCCCACTTCCAAGGGCTCCCAGGTTTTACCAGGCATCGGCTCTCCCTCTGCTCCCCGCAGGAAGGTTCAGCGGCCCTCGCAGACAGCACTGGAGCTGGGCAACCCCTTCCCGCAAATAGCGCAAACATGCACCAGTGGGCACTGAACCATCCTGGGTATTTGGCATGGGTATGAGTTTTGCCACCCACCTGGCAAGTCAGCACAGGATCATCTGATGGAAACATCTTATAATTGACCCCCTGAAATTTTCTGGCTTGCCACTGTTTTCCAAGCAGACAAAAGAGGAATTTGTGAGTCTACACCGTGAGTTAATAAAGTACTATTTAACTCAGTAGAGCTGCTGAATTTGCCTTAAAGTCATTTTCGATCGAGAGCTCACTGCTGTAGCCACAAAATGCTATCTGTTTTGCACGTATGGAATCAGGATGTACACCACCACACTCCTTCTGCCATTTGCAGGGCATGCTCGTGCACCAGGGGCTGTGCAAAAAGGCAGGGGGGGGTCTCTGCATGTACCCCAAGAGCTGCACAAAGATGTACCAGGAGCTCCCAGCTGGCTCCCGGGGCAGACTGGGGCAGGATGAAGACAATCCCAGCCCATCACCCACAAAAACAGTGTCTGCTTGCAGGGGAGAGATAAGGAGGAGACCAGCCTCAGAGATGGCTGCTGTAAGTGATGGGGCAGGACTTCAGATGCAGCTGCTTCCCGGATTTAGTCCTGGGATGGTGCAGCTAAGACTTGCCCTTCCTTTGGGCAAAGGAAGCAAAGGAACTTCTAAGCCTGCTGCCAGAGAAATACGAGAGAGTAAACCCGGCCTCCTTATCATTCTAGGAAGAGTACCCTCAGTGACTTTAATTAAACAGACTGAAAGAAAAATACAGTCCCCCAAAAACTTGTGGCATCTTTTCTAATAATTTAATTTTATTAGTTATCAGTTGAAAAATTCACTGAAATAGCATACTGCTTTATTGCTGTATTGATTTGTTTATCTCGAGTGGGCTCCTATGTCACCCCTGGCTAAACAAATATTTTCTCTTCCTCAGTAAAATATTTAGAAATCCTGCTTAGAAATTCTCTACTGATTTCTCCTGTTTTCAATAATTCACTGAGCTACAAGAATCTCTGAAGTCTGCCTGCCTCACTCACATATTGATCACAGACTGTTCCGTATATTTTATCACTAGATAAAATTAATTAAAGCCACAGAAATTAAAGGCAGCAATTCTGTTCCTCTGAGCATCCTGGATGGACCAAGTATCTGATAATTAGCTCATTGATTTTATGCAACATCTCAAAGTGTTAAAGTTAATGTCAGTGAGAAATGTCTATCATCTACTACATCCATGTATTTCAGTATTTTCCTTATTTCTATCTATCTACCAATCAATTGATCTATCTATTTATATAAGCAATCAGTCTACGCTGCTTATTTAAGGTAGAAGTATAAAATGTGCATGTCATACGCAGGTAATATAACATCTTACAATACCATACTAAAAGGCAGAAAAACAGTCCCTACAATGAGGAGGAAATTACTGGAGGAGAAAAAATGTCACTTAAGAATTAATGAATCAAGTCTGTCTTACAGGATTGATCATTTAAGATGAGGTCAATGAATTTATGATACAAATGGCTATATCACTAGAGGTAATAAAACGGAGCAATATCATTCATTTTACATCTAACTAATGACGTGCTCAGAGTAATTACAGACTTTTTCTAAAAGCCTACACTGATTAGTTCAGATGTGGTAGGTGAAACATGTATCTTTCCGTTCAATAAAATAACATTTTCTTATCTGTAAAACACACAGCCAATGTCTTATTTAAGTACTTGCATTCCATACAGAACACCATCGTTCTTCACAACCATCTCAAAGTCTCTCTGTTCATTTATTCCTTCTGCTTCCCTTTTCCTGCCTCGTTCTTGCCCTTCACCGTACAATGAAGAGAAGAGCTAAACTGTTGCAGAGTGCTTGTTAATGCTGTGCATTGGATTTGGTAGCGCTTATGGACGGGAGTAGCTTCCCCGGTTTCAGTGGGATCAGTCATGAGAGTTAATGCTGTGGGATCACGTTCGGAGGGCCTGACCCAGCACCCGTGGAAAACAATGGAGAGACTCCTCTTTAATGCAATCAATCGGCTTTGGGTCTGATGCTTAACGCTGGCCTCTGCTCACCCTGGAGTCAGTGGGAGCCTTGCCCCTGACCTCATCAGGAGCAGAGGCAGAGCTGGGGATTTTGGAAGGAGCTGCGGCAGAAAATCCCATCGCACAAGTTAACAAAAGGAATACACGGGAAGAAAATAAATGCCGCGAGGCTGAGCTTCAGACATTTCCTAACAAACATAGGTGAAGCAACCATTTTGTACGTTTCTGCCCAAAAGGAGGTGGGAATGCTAGCAGTGTGACTGACAAGGAATGTGAACATTTCCAAGATAAAGGGTCAGACCTTGCAAGGTGGTAATAGATCCCCTATGCACCTTCATCTGCCTTGGAAAACACTCATAGTACTGCTCTTGGGCGAGCACACTTCACACCGCGAACGCCAGAACACAACCCCTGAATGACAGAAAGATCAGTAATAAGATAACTGCCTATCTCATTCAGCTGTAATGCAACAACCCTCAAGAAGATTAAATTTACCTAACTGGGGCATGTCCAACACTAAACAACAGAATGAACATTTCCTTCAGTACATTTAATGTATTTATATTTTAGTGGCGTGTTGCCAATGTGCTACTTATAAGCTCAATGAGTTGATATCATTCATCCGCTTTCCTGTGAAGCAGGCAGCAATCTACACCAGGAGTCGACTCAGAAGACACTGCATCAGCAGAAAC